CCCTAAACAATGAAAATGATTTTTTTATTTTAATGAAATTTACAACTGTATTACATGAAAAATACAACAAATAAATGTGACATTGGTACATTGACATGTACAACATGAAGAGAAACTACCCATTGGTAGAACTCAAATTAAAGTTCTATATTAGAAGGTCCCGAGGCCATCTTCCTTTCAGACGCCTCGGGGGGTTATCAGAGATCGAGGAGAAAGCAAGATTTGCATCGAGAGGATTTGGATGGTTCTGCAGTTTGGAAGGATAGATATCTGGATTGGGCCAAATCGGAAACATATGGGCATTAAGGTCTTTATGGATGATTTTATTTGTGACAAAAGTAAGGAGCGTTGAGGATTTTACAAAGAATTTTGGATTGTAAGGATTGGATATGAAAATGATAATATCAGAAATTGCGAAACAACCTCTTCCAAGGATTCTCAAGAAAGGAATACACCACAATTCAGGGACACAGTCTAAATAACAGCTTAGTGGCCATGTATGCAAGATGAAAAACATATGAAGTGTAGTTGCATCAAAAGTGGAAAATATTTATGTTTAGGTTATGTTGTATCTCATGTAAGGATTGTTTTGATGGCAAAAACTTCTTTTAATTTTCAAATTACTTGTTTATTTTAACTTTAATAATTAGAATAACATTTTAATGACATTGTATACCACGAGAATAAATTAAGTAATGTGGCTTAAATTGTAATAATGTGCCAATAAATATCATCAGTTTCTCGGAAATTTACAACTTAGTCATGCTCTTCCCAACAAGGCTCTGTCCACAAGATCACAAGCTGCTTTGAAAATGACAAATACAGTGTGCATAAATCATGCTAAATGCCAAGTTTTGATAAAAGGCCAAGTATCTGAAGCCTTTAACTATTCTATTAGAAGTTTTAACAATTTTGATATTATATTACTTGAGTGATAATCTGTGTACTCTGCAGTTCATCTTCTTTCAGGAGAACCTCTCATATGTTTCTTGGATTGCAGTTTTCTCCATCGCCTCTTATTGTGACATACGTGGGAACTTCCTCTGTTGCTGTTGGAGTTGTATGGTTTGCCATTCTCCTTATTATGCCCGAGTATTTAAGCTTCTGATGCCCAATCCTCTTCCCCTCCTGACGTTCCGAGGTGGCACTTTTTTTCTTCTTTTTTCGTCCTTTCTTCTTCATCTTTGTCTTGCCAAGTTCCATTTTATCTTCTTCCGACTCATCAAGGTATGATTTTGGGTCGCGATCTTTCACCTTGGGAAGTTTTGCTTGAGGTTCAAGCTTCTCTCGGTGAGTACTTTTTCCAGTTTATGCATTTACTCTGGCTTTAGGGGTAGGGCAGTCCAACAGATGTACTATTGGGGCAGATTATAAACCAACCTTGACTAGAGAAAAATCTGATGATTGAATGTGTGGTTATGCTGAACTCATCCCTCCATTTGAAACTGTTGATCAAGAAACACTAACACTACCTATTTCATAAATGCTGAACTCAAACCATAAACTGATTTATGGGCTATAATAGTAGGTTTTTTCTATTTTTTTATTTTATTTTTTTAACATTGATTTAATTACCGTCAGGTTGCTGTATTTTTAATGCTGAATGTCTATAGACAGGGAAAATACCGAGAATAGCATTAATGAAAAATATAAAAAAAGTTATGAAATAAAAATAAAGTAAAAAAGTACACACTTGAACAATTTTTGTTGTTGTTAATCCACTCTGTGATTTGTGGTACATATTCGGATCCAACAACAAATCATCCAGTGTGCCATAAGTTTTAGGTTTACAGTTAGTCTTTCTTATTCCTGACTGTCTGGATATTGTGATAATCGATTCATTCCATTTATGGTTGTTTCAGTTTGTTCTTAAAATGAAATATAGCAGTGTTTATTATTTTATTATTTTTTAACTCCACTCTCAAAGATTGGTATATCTTTGAATCCACAGAATGTGTTCTAGGTTTTATGTTTAGTCTTTCTCATTCTTGACTAAAATAAAGATTTTATTGACTTTATTTCTATTGTAAATTCCAATATATATGTATGCTATGATAAAGCCAGTTCTAATATAAAGCTGTAATACCTGGACACTAACCAGCACCCTAGAAAAAAATATTGAGAGAAAAATCATCTACATGATAACCGGAGCGGTCTGGGATCAGAGTACTAACCAGATGGAAAAAAAAGACCAATAAACAACTGCTTACAGAAACTGATCAATCAATATCCCATGATATGAAGGCATGGAGATTAAGATGGGCAGGGCATGTAGCTCGTAGCAATCCATCTGGAAGCCTCTATGTAACAATGAATGCCTCAATAGAAGGCAAAGGACCATGCGGAAGGTCAAAAAGCAGATGGATAGATAGAGTCAACAAAGATTCAATAGAGCTGCGTGCAGATAACTGGAAAGAAATAGTCCAAGACAGTCAGAGATAGAGCAGGCGTGTTAAGGGGGCAAAAGATGTAATGTCAACAGAAAATAAAAAAAAATAAAAAAATATATATATGTAAATATGTTGTCTAATATTTAGTGAGCCATGGTGCTATTTTAGAATATGAGAAGGTTACAATATTTGTGTATTGGTTTTAAAGTTGGGTTAATGATTGTAAAGTGCTAAAGGACCTTAAGATAAGGACTTTAATTCAATTCTTTTAGGTAATAATACTTTGTTTTGTATTTTCATTTATTTGTTTATATCAGTTTTATCATTTATAAATTAATTTGTAAGATTGTGATGTAAGGGTTATCAGACTTCAAACGATTCTTTAACTCACTAAAAGAATTAATTTATTTACAATTAATTTATAAATGATAAGTGTTTGATGGTATTTTAGAAAATATCCCGCCCTTATTATGACCCCTTTCTCAGAAAAGGTTGATCCTCCAGAATTTGGGCGGGTTCTGCAGATTTTGATTCCTATTATCTAAGTGATGTTATGATCAGTATTTTATGAATACAAAAGTTTTGTTTATTCTATTTTTCCTGTACTACCTTTTTTGCCTCAACTAAGCTTGTCAAATTTAATTATTGTAGGTTGATGATTGGCTCGAAACACTCCAAAAATGACTAATAAGTCATGTAACTGATAAATAAAAAATAAGGAAATAAAAGCTCATTATGATTTATTATAAATTCCTGAAGGCTACCAACAAGATATAAATTTAAATTATATTTCTCAAACTTATATTTCTGGTAATGATTGTTAATAATTAATTAAAGTAATCTCTGATTGTGGTATAAATAAAATTACTACCATATCAATTATTTTAATATTGGGTTGGCAAATAAGTCCTTTCGGTTTTTCTGTTATTTTTTATGTCACTATGATACACTTCTTATGTGAAGAATTAATTCCTAAGGTGGATTGTTTATCCTGTTTGTAATATGTCAGTAACTATATCTGTTAACTCTTGTTGAAATTAGCTTAGTATTGTTTTTGCTATTGCGCTGTGAATTTGGAAGAAAATTCCATTCGTTATCTGCATATTTTTTTGTATTATTTTAAAAAAGGTAAGTGTGCTGCAGAAGCTCATAGAAAAATTTGCAGTGTTTATGGGGATCATGCCTTAACAGAACGCACCTGTCAAAATTGGTTTGCCAAATTTCATTCAGGAAATTTTGACATCAATGATGCTCAACGATCTGGCCGCCCACATGAAATTGAAATGACCGATGTTAAGGCCATTTTCGATCAAAATCCTACCCAATAGTACGAAAGATTACTATGGCCCTAAATGTGTCGCATATAACTAAATAGAAAACCATTTTCACAAGCTCGGCTATGTTTCCAGGCTTAACGTTTGGGTCCCTCACATGATTTTTTTTCGAAAATTACAAAAAATTTTATAACTTCAATACGACTTTAGCTGAATTTAGCAGGAATTTAGGGCCACTACTCAAAATGACATCAACAAGACCTTCATAAACAAACTACAAATGGAGATAAAAAATAAAAACCTATAAGGAGTTATTTATTTATTTAGTCCTTATGTAGGCATTAAATCAAAAATACATTCATACGGCTTTGAAGAGCAATGATTCAGCTTTCCAATGGATATAGTAACATCAAATTTGGATAACATCCTGAAGAGTTATGAATGATCAGAAGAGTTTTGTGTTCCACCAAGGCAGCGCTAAGCCCCACATCTCATTGGTCACTCGCAATAAATTATTGAGCCTTGGAAGGGACCTTTTCTCCCACCCTCCCTATTCACCAGACCTAGCTCCAAGTGACTACCACTTATTCCGCTCTCTGCAGAACTCCACGAATGGAAAGAAATTCCAAAAGGAAGAGGACATCAAAAACCACTTAGATCAGATTTGTTAACAATAAACTTCAGACATTCTATGAACATGGCATTATGCAGTTAGTGGAAAGATGGGAAAAAGTCATATTAAATAATGGTCAATATATTGTAGATTAAAATAAATTTTATGTCTATAATACATTGTGTTTTATTTCACCCTGAAAAACCGAAAGGACTTATTTGCCAACCCAATAGATTACTACAATAATATTATATCAAATAATAAAATTTTGATTAGATATACCAAATAAAATTATTATTACATTAAATAAAGATTTGTTTTCTTCATCCCTTTTCTTAATTATAACTATTTTAGAATAACACTTTCCTTAAACATGACTACAAAATAATTGTTTTAAATAGTTATATTTCTTCATATTAATGACTATTAAAACAACTTTATATGGTGATACTTTCTCAATTATTAAATTAAGAATTATAAAACGTGAATTCTTTTAGTTGTGTCACAGAAGAAATTCTATCATTCCTATGAATTAGGAATTATTATCTGGATAAAGTAATATTAATATTTTAATTTAATTGAGAATAAAAATAACTATATTGAATATTATTAGTTATTGAAAAATGATTATTTTATTTGAATCTAATAAGACTGCATTAGTTTTCTTCCATGTTGTAGCCATTATAACTGGTTAGATTAATTTTTCTGTTTTCTTCATTTCAGGTTTTGAAAAAGGAGTGAAAAAAATAAAAGACGTACCAGATGGTAACAGCCAGGGTGATAACAGTATAAGGTATACTGAACATAAAACATTAATATTAGAAGGTTTGTATTGTATTCTTGTATTTAATAATTAAATAAATTCTTCTATAGCAGAGGTCTCCAAACTTTTTAGCTAGATCATGAAATCAAGATCTCGCCAGATCATGATATAAATATGCTCATATCATTGATCTTTGATAAAATGTTAGGTTTTATTATGTATATCAGTTATTGTTTCTTAATTGAGCATTAAATAAAAACATTTTATTATTATTTTGTATGAATTAAATTTGTATGAAGCTGCTTATGGACTGGATTTGTCTCATGGGTTGTAGTTTGAAGACCCCTGTTCTAGACAGTAAAATAAAAGTATGATCAATTAATATTTTTGTAATAAAAATGTCATGACTTACAAGTGCACAGTGTGTCCATCGACATGGTTTTTCCTTTTAAGTATTTTTTTTTCTTTTGAGTAGATTTCAACATTCATGAACTCATTAGAAAAAGGAGATTTTCTTTATTCTATGCTTGTTGGTAGTTATTCCATTGGAATGTCTGTACAAACAAATTTGATTATTACTACTCAATCAGCACAACACTGGGTCTTTGGCCACCTTATATTCCAGTCAGTGAATGATTTTAAAAGGAAATGGCGGGGACACAATTTTTGACTTTGGGTCATTATTTGGACTAGTAAGGAGGTAAACATACTGAAACATACTCCCCATTCCTAGGTGGTGAGCCAGATGTGGGGGTGGTTAGGGGTCGCCTAGAACATTTTTTTCGGGTTTTTGCTAATATCAGAAAAAGTATCCATTACAGTGACAAAGACGTTCTATACAAAATTAAAGCTGATAAAATTTGCAATATGATTGATTGTACACCTTTTTTCGCTGCATCGCTTAGTTTCCAGGATATCCGTCCTCAACTATGGCTAATTTTGGGGAAAAAAAATGTTGCCTCAAGTTTATTGCTGTTTTTCGAGTTTTCGCTTATATCAGGAAAACTATCCATCGCATGTACTATCCAACTATACAAAATAAAGCTGATAAAATTTGCAATTATTGATTTTATACTTTTTTTCGCAATCTTGCTTAGTTTTCCGAGATATCCCTTGTCCAAAATCAACTTTCCAACTTCCTAAAAGAACGTTCCCTCATCAATCCAATCTGGCTTTCAACCTGTCTATTCAACGCAATATGCCCGCTTTAAAATAACCCACGACCTCCAAAACTCAATTGAACACCAAAACGTTACTATCCTCATCCTTCTAGATTTTTCCAAAGCGTTTGATACAGTTGACCATAACACCCTTCTTACTAAATTGTAAAATCTTCCTCTATCCAGCAGTGTCCTGCCATGGTTCGAATCCTTCCTTTCCGATCAGTATGTAGTCATCCCTGATCAGCCTCCTTCTAAGACACTCCCCCTCTCCTGTTGTGTCCCTCAGGGCTCCTCCTTATCTCCTACTCTGTTTGCTATTTACATTAATGACCTCCTCCTCCTCCTGATTCATCACACCCAATACAACATCTATACCGACGATTTTCAAATATACCTGTCTTTCTCCCCTTCCGACCTATTAGCCACCACAAAAAAACTTCAAGAAGACTTAAATAGAATATGTGACACGGCAGTAGCCAACAAGCTGAAGTTGAATGCGAAAAAGACAAAGATAATCCTAATACGCTCCAATCACCTCCTTAAAACTGTTCCTAACTTTCCAATCCTGTTCCTACATGATAATCCCATCAAATTTTATCCCACCATCAAAAACCTTGGATTATCTATGATCAAACCCTTTCCTGGAAAAACAATGTATCCAATATCTCCCGATGTACCTTTTCCTCCTTAAAACATTTAAATAGGCTCCTTCACTTTTTTTCCTTATGAAACCTGTAGACTCCTGGTCACCTCCTTAATATTTCCCCACTTTGTCTATTGCTGCATGATACATGGAGGCGTCTCTGGGGATCTCGAGGCGAAACTAAAATGTTTGATAAATTTCTTTGTACGATTCATCTTCTTCGGGATCCCAAGGAACGCCTCTGTTTCCTGTTTTTATGAAGAGTTGAAGTATATGGATATTCCTCTCCAAATGTCTCTACCACCCAAAGCATTTCATCCCATAGAAATATCCAACATCATTCAAAAATTATCCTCCCGTACAGCTCCTGGACATGACCTAATTACATCCCAGATCCTAAAACTTCTTCCTCGAAAAGCCATCCTATTCCTTACTTACATATATAATGCTGTACTCCGTTCCACATATTTTCCTGATCCTTGGAAACGATCTATTGTTAACGACTTAAAACGCCTGTACCCTATCCTAAATTCTAAACACATAATCCCAGATCACCAATTTGGCTTCCGAACTTCCCATTCCACTATACAGCAATGTCATCGTGTGGTAGACGTAGTCTCCTCTGCATTGGAGCGCGGAATGTACTGTACGGGAGTCTTTCTCGACGTTGAACAGGCGTTTGATAGAGTTTGGCACCCAGGACTGCTGTACAAACTCCGAAAATTCCTACCACCTACATACTTCCTCATTATCCGTTCCTACCTTACTGATAGATACTTTAAAGTAAATCACAATAACGCCTATTCATCCCTTTTTTCCCAGTCCTCTGGTGTTCCTCAAGGTAGTATCCTGGATCCTATCCTCTATACAGTTTATACAGCTGACATCCCTACCTGTCCCAACACTGTCATCACCACATATGCCGATAACACATGTATCCTATCAGTAAACAATGACCCAGAAATTGCATCCGAAATGCTTCAATCACACATCATAAATCTAGAAGAATGGTGTCAAAACTGGAGAATTAAAATAAACTCCAATAAATCCCACCAAATTACCTTTACCCTTCGTCGTAAACCAACGACTTCCTGTCCTACAGTTTCCTTTAACAATACTCCACTTATCCCTGTTGAGCAAATCCGATACCTAGGACTCTACCTGGACAAACGACTAACTTGGAATCCTCATACTAGACTGAAACGACAAGAAACCGCTCGACGTTTCCGAATACTTCAGCACTTACTAGACAAACGCTCTAAACTTCCCATTAATTACAAAAGACTCATATACTTGACTATAATAAGACCTATTTGGACTTACGGAGTTGAGCTATGGGGCTCCACTAAACCATCGAATTCCTCTCGCATCCAATCCTTACAATCCAAAATCCTTCATAAAATCCTCAATGCTCCTGACTAATAAAATTATCCATAAAGATCTTAATGTTCCTTATGTTTCAGATCTGGCCCAATCCAGATACCTATCCTTCCATAATAAACTTCAGAATCATCCCAACCCTCTCGTTTCTAACCTTGCTTCCTCTTCAATTCCTGATAATCCTCCGAGGCGTCTGAAAAGAAGATGGCCCCGTGATCTCCTAATGTAGTCATATCATTAGAGTGCTACCATTGGGTAGTTACTCAGCAAGTGTATTCATGTCATTATATCAATTATGTCCAAATTTACTTAATGTATTTATGTAATACAGTTGTAAATGTCATAAAGAAATTAAAAAATAAACAAAATTTTATAAGGTTATATATAGTTTTTAGTGCCCATGCTTCTATCTCCTGGTGCTATAGAAAGATGTCTAACAGTATTTCCATTGCTGCCGTTGGAGTAATCCTCATTGTATCTGTTATCATTAAACAGATTAATCTTTGTAGTTAATCAAGTAAATTCCTGTTTCAACCAACTCTAGCTCTGTTCCTTCAAAGTGTGGCTGAATATAATATCACAGGTCTAATCGCTGTGACATATATAGCCAATAAACCATATATGGTTTTAGCCCCACATAACTCTTATGTGCCCATGGGCATTTAGGAGCTTGGCTAAACATGTTTATCATATGATTATTCCAATTCAGTTTGTGATCCATAGTTAATCCCAGGTATTTTAGCTCCTTGCTCGAGGTTAGCTGGATCCTATTTATCTTAGGTAATTTTATTACAATCCTTTTCTTCTTAGTAAAGATGCAAAAATTAAGTTTTCCACATATTTGTTAATGTTAAGTTTTTTCAACCTACATGATATTAGACTACATCTTTCATCTACGTATTATTACTTTCATTGTCTACTATTATTATTTTTTTTAACTTTACCTCTCTTTATCGGCTTCCGCCATCAGAGATCATTGTCATAATTTCAATGAATATTCCTTAAATAAATACAATTAATCCCAGTAGATATAAAATAAATCTACGCATTAATTTCAAAATATAACATTACTTAAAATTAATATGAGGCTTTGAGCTAACCTATGAAATGTATTATCTTCTTCATTTGAATTGAAAAAGTATTCATTTATTCACAAGACAGGAGTTCAGTATAACATTTAAAAACAATATTTAACGTTTTAAATATTGCAATGACAAACTCAAAGATGCCGCATCAAGTTAAAATATAATCCATTTCGATCATCAACATAAATAAAAATAAAATAAATTTCTTTGGCTGAACTTGAAACATTGAAATCCAGATGTGTTAACTTTTTGCACTTATTTTCATTCCGCTTATGTTATCATTATAGTAGCTATTGTAAAATAATTATTTAAAATTTTTGTAAATAAGCTGATTACCTTTCTAATATGGATAAAAATATATTTTAATAACAATAAGTCTGTTAAATAAGAAAATACAAACAACAAAATCTTGGTTTTTTTTTTCTGGTAATTATCCAAAACTAATTGTTAGTAAGAGAGTTAGAAAGAAAAATATGATAATTAATGCACAAGACTGGCAGTTAAACACCCAATTTGAAACGAAGATATTCATATTTAAATTTATTTATACTTTTTGTTATAAGTTTCCTCATTCTTTTTTTTTTTCACGCTCTGAAATAGATAGAACCTGATATTTTTTTAATTTTCTGGAAGTGATCTGTTTTGTTTTTTTTACCTTAGAGGTTCTGTAAATGTGTTTGAAATACCAAAGAAAATCAATTTCCCATTATCCATTGTATACTTAGAGAAGTAAACGATTTAGAGTTTCTACTAGAGCTATAAGTCCTGTATGACTTCATGATATAAGTACTTTGCCAATTCAATCTTTGTTACAAAAGAAAAAAAAATCGGAAGAATTCTTGGACTTGACCTTCATGATTTTAAATTAGTCAAAAAGCAGCTCCAACTGCTCAGCATATACATTATTGGTTTGTTTAATAAAAATATAAATATAATACATGATAGAAAAAAAAAGAAAGGAAGTTCCTTAGTCATCTTCTTTTCAGACGCCTTGGAGGGTTGTCACGAAATGTTTTGGATGAAAGTTTAACACAAGATATACACTGAGAGGCAAAAAATTCCACCCACTTGATTTTTTCATCTAAAAATATTTCTGTAAAGTTGTATTTGTATATAATACATGGTATTTGTGGATAATACTTAGTATTTATGGAATTTTATAATCTTTTTTACCTTTAATAATCAAAATGTGATTGGGTAAGAAAGATTAGAGAAAAAAAATTGAAAAACGAACCATTATTATTCTAAAAGAAATTAATTACATCATCGTTTAGTAGCGCGTGTTTCCTCCTCTTATCTTCACTACTTCTTGAAGACGTCTCGGCATACTTTGCACCAGTCGGGAAATGTCTTTTTGCTGGAGGATAGCCCATTCCTCCCGAAGAGCCCTTTCAAGGTCCTGCAGTGTATCAGGAAGTGTTGCATGCGCTCTTATTCGTCTTCCGAGGTTATCCCATAAATGCTCAATGGGGTTCAAATCTGGAGAACGTACTGGCCAGGCTAAAACCTCAATATTGTTCTGTTGAAGGAACGTCTGAACTATGCGGGCGACATGTGGGCGTGCATTACAATAGAATGATCGCCGATTTCTTTGAGGATAGACAACACATGAGGTTCCAAAATCTCATCTACATAGCAAATGGCCGTCAAAGACCCTCCACGAACAACAACAATTCTGTGCGGCACTCCATTGAAATCCCAGCCCACACCATTAAGGAACCACATTGGAAAGGTTGGCTCTGGGAAAAATTACAGGCTGCATATCTTTCGTTTCTTCTTCTCCACACCCTTTCACGCCCATCTGGAGATCGAAGAGCAAATCTTGACTTATCTGTAAAAAGTACAGCACTCCATTCGTCCATAATCCAATGGCTGTGTTCTCGAGCAAAAGCCGTGTTACTCTGTGAGTTCTGGTCAACTCTGGTCCTCTTACTGGACGAAAATCCATTAATCCATACTCATTTAATCTTCTCCGAGCGGTACGTTCAGAAATTTGCACACCTCGAACTTCTTCGAGCTGATGAATCGCTTCAACAAAGGTGCCGGTTTCGTAAAATTCTCAAAGTCAAAAACCAGTCATCCCGTGGTTCTGTTACCCTATGCCGTCCAGAACCGGGCCTTCTATTGTACGAACCAGTTTCCCGAAAACGCCTGACGGCATCTCATAAAGTTTCATATGGAACTCCGATGGCATTAGCTGCATATCTAATGGAATGTCCATCATCAATAAGTGCCACACCATGCGCAACATCCTCAGCACTAAGAGGCATTTTTAAACTTAATATTGAAAAAATTAAAAGCCGGAGACTAAGAAATGTGCTGCAAGAAACGGCACTGAACTAATGATACTGAATAAACATTTTGATTCCATAGAAAGTAAACATTGGAATCTAGAATCATTTCATTGAATTAAGGATTAAGGGTTATTGCCCTCTATATTAACATTCCTAATTGAAAACAAACAAAAAGATTACCTATTTATTCATTAAAAACAATAGACCAATCCAAAGCAGAAATATTTTTAGATGAAAACATGAAAAAATCAAGTGGGTGGAATTTTTTGCTTGTCAGTGTATTTCAACAACTCCTCCATCAACGTCAATTATCGCACAAAATTAAATTATTAAATAAATATTTAAACTTATAAAAAACAAAAATGGATAAAATTATTAGAAAAAAAAGTTTCATTCAGCTTCTGTGGTAGACGTAAAGCTCATCATTCGCAGTAGCGAAAAAGTTAATGTGGGTATATCCAAGAGAAATACCATGGTTATGATTGGAGCTATTTTATTTAAGATGTATGTAAATGGATTCAAAAAGTGTTATTTTTTTTATTCAACTATGGTTATGATTTTATCAAATTTTTGTTTTTGCAAACACAAATTAAAGTTAAATGTATATTAAAAAAAAAAAAAAAGAAGATTACTAAGAAAAACAATTTTCATGTAAATAGCTTCTAAAACAATTATAGTTAGTGGTTCATTCCATAAATTAAATGAAAAATTCTCAATAGATAAGGTTGACCCTTGATCAAACAGTAGAAGTTGGTTGGGAAATTCTCAACTTTGTGAAAGGAGACATATGTTTCCTGTTACCTTAAAAAAAATGCACATATAACAAAATAATTTCCTATTTATTATTAATAAAATTGAAACTAATTTATGTTATTTATTTGTAGAACTAGGATATAACCATTTTGAAATGCTACCAGAAGGTTGGATCAAAATCATTCATAAAAGTGGGATGCCAATTTATTTGCATAAAGCAACGAGAGTCTGCACTTTTGGCCGTCCTTACTATTTAGGGCAAGGAAGTGTTAGGGTGAGATTCATTATTTATTGTAATATTAGTTTTGTTTAATATTACTTTAATTATAAAATTTAGAGGTGATTGTTATTTCACAAGTGACTATTATACCATCAAGCCAACTGATAATGTGGAAGTAACATCATATTGTATGGTCTATGCCTATAATTGTAGTTTTATTAAATTTTTATTCTAGTATCATCATTTAATTGTACTGCCTTCCCTGGTGGAGATTAAAAAAAAAAAATCTCATTTTATACATATTTTTTATTTTTTTATTTATCACAATGGCACTACGGTCCAGCAAGAACCTGGGCGTCCTCCTCTGCAGCCAACCAATCTGCACAGTCCTGTGCTACCTCCCTCTATCTACTGACACCCAGCCTCTTTAGATCGTCCTCCACATCCTCCAGCCATCTGAGCCGAGGTTATCCTCTACTTCTTTTGCCATCCGGCTTCTTATTTTATACATATATAAAATATACAATAAATTCCTCACAAGAGAAGTGAGGAAATTAATCAGAATTGTAAGCTGTCTATCAAGATTAGTTATCATATTAGTTAGTGATTAGGAGCAAGGAGCCCATGTTTAGCTCCAATATATAGCACGAATTATCATTTAATAACATTATCTATTCTCATTCACAAGTGGAGGCTACAGTCAGTGGGTCACCGATTTTAACCAAATTTTTGTTGGTGATACATATCTCATCGTTTGTTTCAATGGGTCGGAGAAAAAAAAATTATATAATTTCAAACAAAATTTACATTATTTATTTTTTCCCTGTTTTTTAGGGTACAATAAATCAATCAATCCATTTTTTTTAGTGGGAGAATAAGAAAAAATGTTAACTATTGTATTAAATGAGTTGTAGTGCATCGTAAATTACAAAAAACAAATTGCTCCTCCAGGAAGTCGGCCAAGTAAATTTGTTGTTTCGAGCTTCCTTTAAAACTTTTTACTATGAATTCTTATATAAATAAAAAATGCAACCTTTAGCACTTGATTTTCTTGGAATAATTTTTTTTCTGACTGTCAACTGAAGCATGCTTCAAATTCAACTTTAAAATAACCATTGGAAAGCTGAATTATTGCACTACCCACCATCATCAATAACTTTTGGATTTCATTCCTTTTAAGCTAAAAATTAAGAAAAACTTCTAACCCATTTATATTTTATTTCTTTAGTTCTAATTCGTTTACGAAAGTCGGGTTTATTTTGTACATTGTAAGTTGCATTGAATAGGGCTTGAAGGTTTATTTTCTTGTATGGTATATGATTGAATTGGCGTAGGGAGGTGGCGGTCCCATCGCCCGGTCATTGTACCGCAACCAGCCACTGGCCCTCCAGGTTGGGGGAACACCTACACGAACACTCACACACCAAGTACACTTTATACAGCACACTACAACACCTAAACACTACAGACAAAGGTCACCTACAGTACACACCCTAGGGTCACCTTCCCTAGGTAGCCGCCCCGGATGGGGGAGCTAGTCAGGATGCTCGGAGGAGGCAGCCCCTCTACCTGACTCGGAGGCAGTGGGCTGATAACCCACCCCCCCTAAAGTATCTTATTACGAAACCTCAAAGAGAAGAAGCCGGACTGAATTACGGTAACAGACCCAGGAAACGCCTAAATGACCTAAGAATTGGATTTTGGAACATTTTATCATTACATAGACTAGGAGCACTTCGTGCGCTCCTTGCAGAAGTGGACACATACAGAATCGACATAGCAGCTATCCAAGAGGTCCGATGGATAGGACAGGGAATTATGGAGGAATTAAGCACCATACACTCTACTATAGCTGCCATGAAAAGCATCACGTCTTCGGTACCGGATTTGTCGTGAGAGGCAGAGCTCGACAGCTAGTGATGCGATTTACTCCCATTAACCAAAGGTTATGCTACATTCGGCTTAGAGGAAAATTTTTTAATTTCTCTTTAATTAACTGCCATGCCCCAACAGAGGTGTCACCTGAGGAGGATAAGGAAACATTTTATGAAGAATTTGGACGCGTGACAGAAAGCTGCCCCAAAAATGATGTTAAAATCATTCTTGGTGACTTTAACGCCCAAGTTGGTAAGGAGGTGGCACTCATGCCGACCATAGGAACCCACAGCTTGCATAAGACCAGTAATGATAATGGGCTACGGATGGTGAACTTTGCTACATTGCACGGACTGGTTGTTGGAACAACTCTTTTTCCTCGAAAGAATATCCACAAAGCAACATGGATCTCTCCAAATGGGCAAACAACATCACAGATAGACCATGTACTCATTAGTGCCCGTCACAAGTCCAACATGATAAATGCAAGATCTTATAGAGGTGCAAATATGGACACGGATCACTATTTGAGCATTGCCGAGGTCAGATCACGAATTTCGCTGATTAAAAACCACCACCAACGACCAAAGAAGAAGATTGATGTAGCTAAACTTAAGGACTCAGACCACCAATATTCGTATCAACAAGCTGTGGAGACGAAACATAATGAAGATGTAATTAATGACAGCTCTATGGTCGATGAACAGTGGAAGAGATGCAGCAACGCAATGAAACAGGCAGCAGAAGAATCTCTTGGCTACGAGACTAAATCTAGAAGGCCTCCATGGTTTGATGCTGAGTGCCTTCAAGCAGTAAAAGTGAAAAATGAAGCCTACAGAAAGAAGGTTCAGCGTCCCACAAGGCTCTCCCAAGAAACATATCGAAGAAAACGACGCGAAGAGAAGAGATTATTCCGCGGAAAGAGAAGAGCTTGGGAAAACAAGAACATGGAGGATATAGAGGCATTGCGCGGCCAAAATGAAAGTCGGCTGTTCTTTCAGAGAATAAACGAGGGTAGGGCAGCTTTCAGGCCCAGAGTGATGGCATGCAAAGACACGAATGGATCTCTTTTAAGCCACAAAGATGACGTACTAAGGAGATGGGCACAACATTTCAAAGACGCATTAAACAGAGGAACGGTGCCTGGAGAAGTAGGAGTAATGAAGGAAGACTCCCTGAATTCTATTGAACCCCCGGATGAGGAGGAAATGGAAAATGCCCTGAGGAAATTGAAAAATGGAAAGGCGCCAGGCCCGGACGGAATCCAGTCAGAGCTGTTGAAATGTGGAGGTGAAGAACTTAAGAAAGCTCTGCATGATTTAATGCTGACCATCTGGGAGAGGGAAGCTATGCCTACGGAATGGGCAACAGCCATTATCTGCCCAATACATAAGAAAGGAGATCAAACAGAATGCGCTAACTATCAAGGAATCTCACTCCTTTCGTGTGCTTATAAGCTGCTCTCTAACATTCTTTTTGAGAGGATTCTCCCGTATTCTGAAAAGGAACTGGGGAAATATCAGGCTGGATTTCGAAGAGGACGCTCAACCACTGATCAACTGTTCTCTCTGAGGATGATCCTAGAAAAGACTATGGAGCATAAGGTAGTCACCCACCATTTATTCCTAGACTTTAAAGCAGCATACGACAGCGTTGATAGAACGCAATTATACTGTGCCTTGGAGGAGCTAAGCATCCCTCAGAAGCTCGTACGCCTAATCAAGATGACCACATGGACAGCTCGAGATGTAGAATACGCGTCGGTTCTGACGACTCCGAAGAGTTTAAAGTGAGCAGTGGGGTTAGGCAAGGGGATGCCCTCGCCTGTCTATTGTTCAACTTGGCAGAGGAGAAAGCTGTAAGAGACTCCGGTATTCAGACCAACGATATAATCTTCAATCGCCTGACACAGCTTTTTGGTTTTGCTGATGATATTGACATAATAGGTAGGTCTGAACGGGCTCTCAGAGAAGCGTTTATAGGCCTTGAAGCAGCTGCAAGACCACTTGGTCTAGAAGTCAACGAGAGGAAAACTAAGTATATGAGAGTTGGCGGTGAGGTGGATCTGAACTCTCCATTTGAGGTAGGTTCTTTTAAGTTTGAGAGAGTGAAAAGTTTTATATACCTTGGGTCTGAAATTAATAGCAAAAATGACATGGCTCAAGAAATACAAAGAAGGATCACGGCTGCCAATAGATGTGTCTTTGGACTTGGCCGACACTTAAGAAGTAGGTATCTCTCAAAGAAGACCAAGCTGATCATATACAAGACCCTTGTTCGGCCTGTTTTGACATATGGCTCAGAGGCCTGGACGATGACCAAAAACGATGAGATGAAGCTGAGTGTGTTTGAGCGAGGAGTCCTCAGAAGGATTTATGGTCCAGTAAAGGAGGGTGATGTCTGGAGGAAAAGAAAAAATAGGGAGCTCAGTTTTCTCTATACAGACATCGACGTAGTCACCTATATTAAACTGGCCAGACTAAGGTGGGCAGGGCATGTGGCCAGAATGAGCACTGTTGAAATACCAAAGAAAATAATGATGGAGGAGCTGCATCTCGTAAGACGGGTAGGAAGGCCGAGGACGAGATGGTTGGACAACGTGGCCTATGATGCGAGAACCCTGCTTGGTGTACGGAACTGGAGAGCTGCAGCAGAAGACAGAGCCAACTGGCGGAGGCTCTTGGAGGAGGCCCAGTCTCGGTAACGGGATGTCGTGCCACACATGATGATGATGGTATATGACTGAGATACAAAATACGAGTTTTCGACCTCATGACCTAAAGTTGAAAATCTAGCATCATTTATAATTAACAGGATTTGAATTTCTTGGATGGCAACTATGTCTATATGGTTGTCATCAAGAATATTAAGAAGCAATTGCAGTATACCAGATCTAAATAATCTTAATATGTTCCAAGAGGCACTTGTGCAGTCCAGTTGATGTTTTTCATGTCAGTCCGGCTAATCTTTTGTGAGCTTTGTTGATAACATAAATTTAAGGAGACTGAGTGTATCGGTCCACATCCCCCGAGACAGGTGGAGGGTCTCCCAACCCAGCACTTCCTGTCATGCGCCTCTATCCAGAGAGGCTACCTAGGGAAGGTAGTCCTAGGGTGTGTCCTATAGATAACCTTATGTTGTTGTAAGTGAATAATGTAATGATCTGCTTTTTTGTGCTG